CAGGCGCCTAAATCAGTTCCCGCGCATGGCGTGTGTCCGTTTCTCAAATCACGATACCTACGATTTTCTTTCTCGCCGTAACCAGTATATGTTCTTGAGGTTAAATGTCAAGAGTTCCCCGGTACATATCAGCGAAACACCACCCGCTTGCGCGTTACGCCATTCCCTCAAAGTCTTTCTGCTATTTTGCCACTACGCTCTTTAGGCTTAATGCCAAAAACGTTGGAAGCGCGGTGCCTAAACATTTGCTCGTGCACTAAGTTCCTCGTTCAGGGAATTACCAAAACTCGCGCCTACATCGGTAACCCTTACAAACCTACTGTTTTGCTCACCTGCTGCTCTATCTACGATTGGTGGCATGTTCCAGGACATGGTGGGATTCCTCCTGGCAAGCGTTCTCCTTATAAAAAGTTACAACTCTCTTTTTAATGACACTGTGACGTGGCGTATATCAGTAGCAACTAAGTAAAGTCACTGCAACAGAAATGCCCAGCTCGGAGAACATGACAATCCTTTCAAATTCACTGCTGCCTGCTTTTCCGGAGGAACTTACCACACTCACGGACGTCAGGCAATTCGTAGATAATATTTGATCCCTTCCTAGCTCGGCGAATACATCGAACGCAAGCGTGACTGCAGCATAAAATTAACAAAAGCATACAACGTGATTAGTAAACCATGCACTTACATAAATACCTAAACCTAACTGCAGTATAAATAAGTAAGTATATAAAAAGTTTGTTCAGGCAGTGCGAGGCACGACACCAAAGGCATGAGCGTGCTTACATAGTAACACGTGGGCAACTTACTAATTGTGCGCTATGTATTACTATGATTATATCTACTTAGGCTTGACCCGCACTGAGGGGATGGAAACCGTCATTTATTTATTGACTACTTGCACTTTTGAAATTATGAAAACTTTACGCGTTACCGCGCAAATGGCTGGCACATTTAGATGGGACCGAAGAAAAGTGAGAAACCCTACAAAAAACGTCGCAAATTTGCAAAGAAGCATCGTGCTGGATAGAGGGTTCTCTGCGGAAGTAAACTACGCGCAGTATGAGCATACTTGCTTTACTCAGCAACAGCGTCCGCACTTTCCCTAAAAATTTGAAAGACGTTAAATGCAACAGCTGTTGTCGCGAATACGTGTAGCTTGGATTAATTATTCTACAGAACACCTGGCCTGACAAAGCTGTTGAAGACGCCATTGTTGCTTTGACTGTATTATTTTTCACCGTGCTGATCGCTTATGCACGATCCGCAACCGAAGCGATGGTGTTATCACATTTAATAACGCCTCCTGGTGCTCAGCAGTGAAGAAAAGGTTCTGCTATGCATCGCAACTTATCGACTGCGTAGTTCTAATTGCTCCCCAATATATCTGAGTGGATACAGCTCAAGATGCCAGCCGACATTTATATATCTTCCAGTCGTCTAACGCAGAAGCAGACAAATCTAACGATGACTTCACAGTGGCCGTCATCGTACACGTCGAACTTTTTCTAAGAATATTTGCTGGTGTTTTCAATAGGTTTAACAAGACATTCCTCACCACATTTGGACTACAGAACATCGTGAAATGTCCCACCTGGTAAGAAGCAACCCTGTACCTAATGTTTGTAACCAACCTGTAACTATTTTCATCCAGTACTAAGGCACCACTTGCAAGCTCTGTTCATTCGACAGTCAAGCTCTCTCCTGTCGTCTACAGTAAGACGAACCACAAGGAAGTCATTAACTGCAAGAAACGTAAGAATTACCGGAGACAAACCGAACCTCCAAACGTAGCACAACTGACAGAACTGGTTGCCTCTACAAAGTTAAGTTTGTTTTCGACGCAAACGCCTCAACATATTGTAAACGGATGACAAGTTAGATAAACTTCTGTATTGATCTCTGCTGCCCGTTGGAAACTATTCTCACACCTGCTGACCGGTTCTCCTCGCCACTTCTGAAGCAGCTGAGTCGACTTAAGGAAAACTCCTTCAAAGTTGAAGAGCGTGCCACGTTAACGTTTCGCTACGCATCAGAGAAGAATTTTACCACCTCACTCATGCATTCGTTCAGAAAATTATGAGGAATAATAATTCCCTTGAGCTTTGACAGAAAAGGAAACCATCTAGTGGATTTGCTCGTCATTGTACCAACTCTGACGTAGACGTTGAAGTATTTAGTCGCAACCTCTGCTGTTGCAGCCGTGATTTACTCCCCACCTGGTCACCTGCACAGATTCAGTGACCTACAGATGCGACGCCAGCCTTGAGGTCGCAGCACCTCACCGAAAGCTTACCCAGCTAAGGTCAAGCTAATCAAGTGGGTCTGACCGGTTGTTGCTTTCTCACTTGCTTTCTCACTTGAGGATGCAATACCTCAACCGCTAGTTGGATTGTACACCACGCGTCTAAACGAAGGCAAGCTCGCAGATTATTGGTGAGTTGTTAGCATAAAACCAGTATCAAAGAAAGCGCAGGAACATAATGACACATTGCGTGCAATTTGGTAGCTTTAATGGTCTTCGCGAAACTTATTCTTTCAAAGATTGCTAACGCAATCCCGTCTGAATGACGCACATCAGTTTGCACACCGAAGTTCTAGGTTAACACAGGATGTAGTGGTTTGTCTGGGGCTCTCAGCGCTATCGTCGCTAGACTGCAAGAACAAAGCCACAAGCTTGTGCTTCCATGGATACACCCACGCCTGCGATTAGTTTAACCGTGAAATCTTGTTGCATGTACTCCTGAATACATTTTGTACTCATAACCGGATCATGCCTGCGCAGACCTGCTTAGCTAAGTTGAGCACGAACATTATGTTTGTTTATTTATTTTTGATTTATCCTGGTCAGTTCAAGTGAATAAATTTCTCATCAAAGTCTAGCAACTATCGTTTTATTTTTCACTTTTTCATCCGTCCACGGCCTCCTACCAGTTGCTACTGTGATCCATCACTGCATGGGTACTACTACACTGGACTTACTGTTCTCCTCTAATCTTTCAGGGCCTATTGGGTAACCATTTCAGACTACTTCATTGGCCGCTGAAACACATAACTCGCTGCGGTGGCGTTTATAAACCAAACTTAGTTCAACACATTGTAGCTGCTCATGTTATTTCAAGCTCAAAGCTTGCTTCGAAAATACTCAAGGATATCTGCCATCCATTACTTAACGTTTTACGTATATGCGAAGCTGGTTCTTTAGCGCCACGAAACTACAGAGCCATAAAAGCCCGTTCGCGGGCCTACGGATCTTCTGTCATACCCGATTCGGCTAGGTTTCTGCTTGGTCCGAATAGTATCATTAAAAAATAAAACAGCAACTTAAGTTAGCAATCCTGTACCACGCATGGAACATGGTTTTAGCCGCCCTTGTTTACTGTTTTTCATGTACTATATTGCTTTTCCTTACCTTTTGTAGCGCTGGTCTGTTACAGTTGAAAATTCAACCTTCGTGAGCGCATAAAAGCTGATGCTTGACTTGCATTTACTTTGAAAATTCACGCTTAAGTCGCTTTTAAGGATCTTTTAAGTAACGGCTTCCTTCCATCCTGAAGGCAAAATAAATTTATCAGGTGATTTCTGTAATGGGATCGTTAACATCGATATATATATTTCCCCAAGCACTTTCAGGTTGATGTAGGACTGCAACTATGAGAACATCACGATCGTTGCTTCTTGGGGACTGTTGAGCGAGGAAATGATAATGTACTCCTGGTTCTTGATGGACGTAAAAGGAAACCTCTGCAGCGCACTGTGGTTAACCAAATAATGTAGACGTTCTCTGCAGTAGCACTCACGGCTGTGTCAGGAGAAAAGGAGGAAAGGTCGTTTGACTGAATGGTAATAAGCACGAGGGGAAATTTTTGTAGGCATAATTCGTAAGCGGATATGGTCCGCAAAAGAGAACTGAGTCCAGGTAACATCTAATGTCCTCTGACTGACGGTCAAAACCCTTTGTTGTAGCTTCACAGACTACACTTCCTAGAAGCGAGCGGCAGCGCTCGATAAATGCACGATAACTGAGGTTCCGTCCTAATCCGGTCAGAAAGCGGCTTCAAATGATGATCATATTTGGATGATCTGTACCAAGCCCAGGCAATTTAGAAGCGCTCAGTGTTTGCAGCAGCACGAAGCATGACGTTTACCGTGCACTAAAGTACGCTATCCACTAACTTTTAGAAGCTTCCAAAGTATGTTTAACACCTGTTCCCGAGTCAGCTCATGCGAGCGCCTCTGCCTGCTACCGAATATACTCCACATAAACGGACAGTCTCTTCAGGTCCACAGAGGCTTCAGTAGATACACAATATTGGTACTAGAGCGCGGCATTCGTCAAGTGCTTCTTTTGAATATTTCTATCATATTTTAACGTGTTGCCTTGATCGGAAGCTCGGAAAAATATTTTAGATAGTCCGATTAGCAGGGAAACTTTGTTTGTACAGCAAAAGGTATCCTGTTTGCCTAGCAATAAATAAACGACCCCGTTGAACACAGCTAGCTAGGGGAACGCAGAATGGACTGCACACAAAACAATCGCGCTCTGCACTCGGAACCAGCGCCAAGCGAAATGGCGATGTTCAACTCAAGCAATCAAACTCATCAGACAGCATAACATTTCGCACCGATTGCCTAAGTGGACAGTGAAATAATTATTTAATGTAGCATTTTACGCATACAGGTTGCTACATCATGGAAGCTGCCATGTGTAATAACTGATGCAGCAGTTAAACAAATGGGACCGCTTATAAGCGCTAAGGAAAGCTTAAGAGAGCACTAAGAGTAATCCGCTGATAGCAATTGATAATTTGAGGGCACGGAAATGGCAAAAGCGAATAATGACCACCCTGTGTTTGATGTCCTATGTCGAGTGTTTGACTGTCCGATGGTGATGCTCTACAGTTGAGGGCAAAATATTTTCCATTTTCATGAATTGTATCTTGCCGCAATTTTGAATATTCTCACTAACCACTTTTCCTTGCATTGTTATAACTATTCAACCTGTCTTCGTTTTCCGTTTTAGGCGCCGTTTCTTCGTACTGTGACGTTCTTCGTTGTTCGTGCGTGCTTCTCTCTTAACTTCGTACTTCTCTTGACTTTGGCACTTCTATTGTGACTCTTGTATCACCACATCCTTTCCAGCAATGGGGAATATATTTTCCAATTTGTTTGCTCGCTTCTTCGGCAAAAAGGAGATGCGTATTCTCATGGTTGGCTTGGATGCTGCCGGTAAAACTACCATTCTGTATAAGCTGAAGCTCGGCGAAATCGTCACCACTATTCCAACTATTGGTTTCAATGTCGAGACTGTGGAGTACAAGAACATCAGTTTCACTGTTTGGGACGTCGGTGGACAGGACAAAATCCGACCACTTTGGAGGCATTATTTCCAGAACACGCAAGGTCCGTGCCCTTTGTGCTGAACTTATTTGCAGGTTTGATCTTTGTTGTCGACAGTAACGACCACGAAAGGATTTCCGAGGCACGAGATGAGTTATCTAGGATGCTCAACGAAGATGAACTACGAGATGCCGTGTTGTTGATATTTGCAAACAAACAGGTACGAACCGTCTTGCTTACTTTACACACTTAGGATTTACCACATGCGATGAGTGCCGCAGAAGTCACAGAAAAATTAGGTCTTCATTCGCTGCGCAATCGCACTTGGTACATACAGGCAACTTGCGCCACTGGTGGATCCGGTTTATATGAAGGCCTCGATTGGTTAAGTGGCGCGTTGAACCACCGCAACTAAAGTCCACGGGCTCCGCAAGCAAGTGCTGTGAGATATAGAACGCTCATCGTTCTAACCCTAATCTGTCTGTTACCTAACCTTGAAATTCGTTCTGTTTCTGACTTCGGTTATCCGCCTTTCTCGAATGAACCTGGCCGCTGTGTATCGTCGGATACTTCGCATCGTTTCTGCTATCCTCGACATTGTTTGGAAATGAACTTCATGTTATTGTGTACTTGCCACATTGCTCTCGGGCTCACCTTTACCACTGCCTTCATGGGTCGCATACATCATGTTTGGTGTCCTATGTACCAGTGTTCACTTGCTTTCCATAAGACAAGCGTCTAATCTCTCGTACCTATGGTAATCCATTTCCCTTGTTTTCTCTGGTTTGGAAAATTGGTTGAGACGTTCGGTGTGACGACGAAGGGTAGGGGCTAAACCATCAGAGAGCACAGGCGTATCCATCTTCACCGATTTTTACCTCCTATCCATTGCCCCTTGGTTCGTTACTAGTCCCCGGGTAAAGTGAAATGTAGTACTTGCTGTTTTACATGTTCCTGTCCGATTTCGCAATCTTGGTTGTTTCCATTGATATCTAGTGCTAAATGTCTTCGCAACCGACTAAAGCTGAATGAGCTGAGCCATCAGTCACTGCCTCCCATTGGACGTGATTCCCAAAATTCGCTCTGCCGTAATGCAGGCAGCCTATTCAGCCAGTCCCTTAGTCAACACCCTAGCTCGATTTGGACAACCGGCTAGTATCGTGTCCTCTGGCCCCATGCTGAGGCTGATGTTGCATTTTTGATGCTTCTTCACCGCAGTTGGGCTAAACCAACTTACACTTAAATAGGTATTTTTAAGCTGGATAAATTTCATTCCACTTTATTTGGCTTGTTCTGCCTACCTGAATACTCTTCTATTAACTGGCCACGTTGCTTACATTAATTGCGCTTATCTTCGGTAACTTTGTTGCGTTTTGTAGCATTTTTAACTAACTTGTGGACATTTTTTCCTTATCGCGGATTCGTTGCTAACCAACTTACTTCGTATGGTAATTTAGGGAAGAGTTATGCCACCGTATCTGTATGCATTATTGGATTTGTTTTATTTCATCTTGTCGTTCCAGGTGATTGGCTGTTGCTTGAAATCCCCGGTGTGGCTGCGCTTGATGTGCATGTTGACAAGGTGCCTACCTGTCTATTACCCACTACCTCGTCCATATCCGCGTAGGGGTGGGCGTCCTCGCGGTATACTCAGCCCGCGCGCGACTGGTGGTGGTCGCGCGGCAGCGAAGCGCCGTTACGGCGTACAGCTGAGACATTATTATTTTACCTCGTCCATACTGGCTCCAGGAGACAGTTGGTCGTTGCTGGAGGGGACGGGGTGCACGGTCCTTGTGGTCGTGCTAGGTTCGAAGAGTGGTTCCATGCACTCAGTGTGGAGCGGATTACGGTCCAGCCACCGCCTTGTGTGTACTTGATTCCCCAAATACAGCGTGCTTGTGTTTGTCCGTGAAGGAGTGTGGGCCGGCTCCGTTGATGAAACGTGGCTCCCATCCGCACGCCTCCCGGTCTTATTCCTTCTGGTTTACATTGGATATGGGGTGTGTGGGTGGTGCAGCGCAAGCCATCCATGGTCCCTCTGTAGGCGCAGGTGTCCTGTGGCTGACCACAGTGACAGGCAAATCCGAAACCGGATGCCGCCAACCATAGATATATAAACAATCGACGTCTTCAAGCCGGACTGCCAGTCCTGAGCCCTCATTCTACTCTATACTGTCATGATAGCGAGAATGATGTTGAACATCTATGTAGCTATATCTCAATGTAGGACATGTCCCACTGACAGTGTTACCTGTAGTAGTGAGCTAGCCCAGGTGAAAAAAGTAAAATATTTATAAGCATAGAAAAAATCTCCATGTACTTACGATATATTCTTGGATGAACCACATGGAGTCCTTCACCAGCTCCGCCGCCTATTACGGATGGGCATCGTTTCGAAGCTGCAGTTGGTGGATTAACGGGCTCCATGGGTTATAATCATTGAACGATTCCTTCGTCAGTTTCCTGTGAAGGCTTCGTCGAATCTGGCATCCGCAAAGTGCGCGTCCAGGAATCGTTTGAATTCCGACACCGAGTTCGCTTCTACTATCCGCGAGGGCAAACGGTTCCACATGTTCACCACTCGCCGCTCAAGACACAAGGGATGAGCTACCCACTTGAGGTCAGGGACTACCAGTTTGTACTGGTGACCTCGTGTGCTGCTTGACGCACGGACATGGAGCAGTGGCCTCAGCATCCGATAAGCACCCAGATGCAATACCTGATGGGTCATGATGAGGTCCACTCGCACGCGGCGGTAGGCTAGAGTATACAGACCCAATTGTCTGCATCTTTCTTCATACGGCACACCCTGAAGACTGGGAATGAGCCGTGTGGCTATGTGTTGTACTCTTTCGAGCTTGTGTATCTCGCCTTTCGTCAGCGGACAGTAGGCGGGTGTGCCGTATTCTAGCACCGGTCGTACAATGAATGTAAAGAGACGAGTGGCAATCTCTTTCGACCAGGTGCAGAAGCTACGTTTCAGCGCCCACAGCGAACGCAATGCTGTGCGATACATATTGTCCGTGTTGTCCAGTGACTTCATGTCGTAACGTTGTATAACGCCAAGGTCTCTGACGCAATGCGTCGGGTGTAGAACTTGGCCGTCGAGAGTGTACGATCGGCCCGCTCCACCTTTACCGAGGCACAGAAGTAGCGATTTTGCCGAGTTGATGGGCAAACTTACTTCGGCGGACCACATGGAGAGGCGGTCGAGGTCCTGCTGAAGTATGTCAAAGTCGTCCGACGTATGGATCACCCTCCATAGCTTCAGGTCATCCGCGAACAAGGCACACGGCGACCGAAGGGATTGGGCACGTCGTTGATGTGAATCAGGAAGAGAATGGGGCCAAGCACCGTCCCCTGAGGAACGCCGCTCGTCGACGGGTACCAGTCGGTCAGGTGGCTGTCGACTTGCACCCTCCACTTCCGTCCAACTAAGAAGTCACGGATCCATTGGTGCAGCGAGCCTCCGACTCCGCACTCCCTCAGTTTCTGAAGGAGGATCTCGTGATTCACTCTGTCGAAGGCCTTACTGAAATCGACATATACCACGTCGACTGACTTACGTTGGTTTACTGCTTGCAACCATTCATGCCATGTTAGCAGCAGGTTAGTGATGCACGAGCGGCCTCTCACGAAACCATGCTGTGCAGGCGTCAGGAGAGAGTTGGTCTCCAGTAGCTGGAGCAGTCTCTTCTTCACAATCTTTTCCAGAACTTTCGACAATACTGCGGTCAAACAAATAGGGCGGTAATTCTCCACTTTGCGTGTGTCACCGCCTTTTGGAATCGGTTTGACAACGGCGCATTTTCAGTCACAAGGCACGCAGCCTATGGACAGGGATCGGTTGAACAGGTCTGTTACAACAGGTGAGATCACAGCTGACAAGGACTTGAGGATCAGCGGATGGAGACCATCCGGTCCAGCTGGCTTCGTGCTGTCTAGGCAGCTGACTAGCCCATGTACCTCCGCGACGTCGCAGATCAAGTCGGTTAGCTCAGTCGGTGCGGCGACGGCAGAACTTGGCGCGCAGGTTTGGTTAGTTGCGAATACAGAAGCGAAGTGCGCCGCTAATGCGGACGCACGCTCGGTGCTTGAACTTAGTGTTTGTCCGTCCGAACCCACTAGCACCGGAACATCACCTGCAGACTTCAGGCGTCGCTTCACGTACGCAAATATGCGCTTCGGGGCAGTTTTAGCTGAGCAAGCAAGCTGCTCCTCAAACTGACGGCGTTTTCGCGTCTTTGTGCTTTTGCACAAGTTTCGTTGTCGCTTGTATGCCTCATAGTCATTGGCAGAGCCAGACAGGAGGAACGCATTCTATAGTCGACGCCTTTGTCGAGACAGTCGGTTATACTCTTTAGCTAACCAATGGGGTTTCATTGGTCCAACTTTCCGAGTCTTGAGGGGTACAAATTGCGCATACAATGAGTTTTTCTGCCCCTTTAATGTTTGCCCAGCAAGTTTCAACGGATGAATCCTGTGGCATAGACCAATCAAGCTGATTGGCAGCTAGAATGAGGCCATCGAAGTCAGCTTTCCAATAGTTGTATGTTGGCGCCACTGGACGCACACATGGAAGCTGCAGGTCTATAGTGACCATAATTGTCGAGTGATCACTGGCCGCCATGGGCTCAAGAACTTCTATGTCATGCACTGTTTGTTCACAGCTGGTTAGCAGCAGGTCCAGGCATGATGGCATTGAGCGCGAGGTTATGCGGGTGGGTTGCGTGATGTGCTGCACCGTTCCGGTTTCCAGTGCCAGTTCGGCGAATCTTGTCTCCACTTCATTATGGCCAGGGAGAAGCTGAACTTCAGGCCATAAGATTCGAGGAAGGTTAAAGTCGCCAGTGAGCAGGAACTGCGGGCGACTCATTTGGTTTTGGACGTGTGTGAGCCAATCCAATCCGTTACTCAGTGGGCTACGATATGCCACACCCACAAGCAGTTCGCCGCGTCATAGGTGGATCGAACACCACAGCTGCTCACATAGACCGTCAATGCTTCGGTAGATGCTCACGAGTCTCCCGCACAGGGTAGACCGGAGGTAAAGTAGGACGCCACCGCGGCTATTCGACTGTCGATCACAGCGGAAGCACGAATAGTCCGTGATCGCAATTTCTTCGCTTGTCACTTCAGATGTCAACCACGTCTCAGCCAAACCAACCACATCTGGCCGACGTGAAGCAATGAAGCGGATCAGATCATCGTGCTTGTTCATTAAGCTGCATACATTAATGAACGCTACACGCAATCCGCGGTAGGAACCGCTGGGCGAGCTTGAAGCGTCATTGCTCTGTTTACCCGGATTCGGGGTATCCGGGCTACTGTGCGAAAATTTACGATACGCAGGTTAGTTTCACCGGCGTCCGTGCGTCGTTTCAGTTCGATCACGGCAGACTTCAGCTGCTCTCGTTCTGCGGGATCAAGGTCTGGCCGGACATGAATTTTCATCCCCTTTAGGCGACCGAGGCGGGACAGTACTAACCTTGGGGCAGTTTCGTCGGCGAACGCGATGCGCAGAGGCCGACACTTGCCATCAACTTGTTTCCCCAGACGAGTGACTTGTTTCACTCGCAACCCGGATTCGCCAACATCCAGTAGTTTGTCGGTTAGAGACTGCAAGAATTGCACATCATGGTCATAGCGTACCTGGGGACTGGGATCAGTCGACTCAGGTGCGTGGAAAATCATGACATTGCAACGAAGTTTGAAGCTTCCACTGCATTGGACTCTCTCGTTTCATCTCCTTTTTCGCCCACACCTAATTCCGACTCAGCTACCCCCACCTGTAAACGAAGCCCTGTGCCATCTGCTTCCTGATCAGAACCTTGCCCAGTGAGCCCACGACTGAGACACGCTGCCGTGGTGAGGAAAACTCCCACTGTCCCAATGGGTCGGAACCA